AGCTGCAACTGTCTCCCCCACTGTTTTGTGGTGCTGAGCAGCCCTGGTATGCTGTTGCCCCTCACTCCAGACTCAGAGTCCCCCACCCCCTCCAGCCTAACTTGCTGTCCCCAGCATGGGAGGGTGGAATGGGGTGGGGGAAGCTCAAAGCTGCCACTGCCACTGGGAGCTCCTTGCCTGACAGGGTGAGGTGCCCCTGTCCCACACACCAACAGCAGAGTGGGGTAGCGCACAACTTTAAAAGAGGATTAAGGCATTAAAGATAGAATTCTTGCAGAGCTGTAGTTTTGTAGAGAATTACAGGTGGCACAGGGTATCTGCTTTGGTTTAAATTTTGAAATGAAGCTGATTACCTCTCTCACTGAACCATGGATTTTCCCCTCAAAAGAAGAAAGCCCACATATCTCTTCTCTAAAGGAGAAAACTCATATTTTTCCAGAGGTAATGTGTAATAGGCTGGCTTTTTAAGGTTGGGTCTCAGTGCTGGTTGCCTGCCTGTTCAGGTCTAAACCTCCGCCTCACTCGCCTGCCATGCCTTGATGAAAAATAACAGGATTACTGTTTCTAAGGCAGGAGGCTGCCCATTGCTCACCCTTGATGCCAAGGGCCCTGGTACATGCTCTGATCTCCCCTTACATGTCCCCTGCCTTGCTGATATTGATTCTCACATCCAGTCTTTCTATATTATTAGTGATCACATCCAGTATTTCCCTATTTCACAATTCAGTAATTCTGCTCCTCACTAGGGCCATTCACATCTTTACTGCCCTCAACTGGGCCACTCCACCATCACTCAGCCCCACTTTGGACCTTCTGCCCCTTCTTAGGGCCACACAGCCTCACTCCAGGCTGTTTCTGTTGCTCAGCTCCTCTGGGCTGCTTCACTGTCACCCTCCTCACTGGGGCCACTTGGGTCTTGCACCCTGTGAAGATCAGGCGGCTTGCGCCGTGCCTGGCCCCTAACACTGGGGTCTTCCACCCTGTGGGCTCAGGTGGCTGCTGCCATGCCTGGCCTCACTACTCTGGGCTCAGGTGCACCCCTCTGGGATTACCTGGTCCAGGTCTCTTCCCTTGTCAGTAACCCGCCTACAGGCAGGGGCTGGGGTTTTTTTTTAGGAGCCCCTTCTTGCCTTTCACCAGGGAAGTAACTTGCCTGGCATTTCCTGGGGACTCTCCCGCCACAGGGAGTCCCACCAGGCCACCCTTCCCCAACAGGGTGCAGTTTCAGGTCATGCCTAGGACCAGGAGCCTCCAAACCATCCCCATAGCTCCTGCCTTTACCTCCAAGGTCTTCCAGGAGTAGCTCAGCCTTATGTTGCCTCCTTGCCTGCTCAGCTCAGACTGCTGCTTCTCTCTGAGGGCCTGGGTTAAAATGAAAACTGCTCCGCCCCCCCGCCCCCCACCAGCCAATCCCAGGGTCATGTGCTAGCCTCGATGAGGCTAGCACCCACTTGCCGGCTGCCTCACTGCCAGCTACAAACCTTCAAGTGGCAGGCACTGCAGGTGCCCTGTCACAAAATGGAAAACCCAGATCTCTACTCATCACACATTTGGGTTATGTGAAAAAAAAACCAAACGACTAAAGCAGATTAGACACCCTGTGCCACCTGTAATACTCTGTGTAAAACTACAGCTCTGTAAGAACTCTGGAGAAAATTATACAAATTAAAACAAAACACTCTGAGTTAAGCCTAAACAAATATGTGCACCATTCACCATTAATGGCACAAGCACTTGCTTCCAGTGCACAACCTTACATATCAATGGGATTATATTTAGGACCAAATCCCATGCCCATCCCATACCCAAGATTCACTAACATTTAAGGAAGCTTTGGGTACACAAAGATGTAAAAGTGGGGCAGAGATGGTGGAAGGAAACAAAAATTGCCACCATTGGCAACTCACCTGTGTGCCAATCCTAGGCACATTGCTGCCATTTCCCGTGAAGGAAGGCCTGTGATAAGCCCCTCAACTTGTGAACGTATGCCCCTCATCAGCTCTGTAACCATTGGACTATGGATACAACTTAAGTTCAGTTTGTCCTAAAGAATGAAGATTATTAGGAATTAACTAAATTAAATCCTCTTAAAAGATTTTCCCTTTGAGTAACATTAGACTCTTACAGTTGTCCCCCTATTGGAGTCCACTGGTTAACCAACTACGCAACAATTTCTCTGACATCAGAGACAGCGAATAAAAAACAAACATTAACTTTCCCAGCCCTGTATGTGCCCATGCCTCAGTAGTTCCCAAATTTTCTGGACAAATGGTGGTCCCTTAAATTACCTGGGGATCATCATGTGCCCTTCTCAAACTTCACTGAAAACACTAGAAAGGGAAACAGGGCCCAGTGCAATCACAGACTAATTACCATGGCCTTGGAGACCATCAGCAGTTGTGGAGTAGTTTAAAATTAATTTCCCTTCCTCACCTCAAGATCAGATTCCAGGAACAAGATTTATGACTGAGGTCTTAGGTATTCTGCAGATACCCAGAATACTGTAGCCAATTAGAAATTATCTGGCAAGTTACAAAAGAAATCAAAGGGATTTAATTTGTAATGGATTATGAACACTTTATTTCAGTATTCCTTGTATCAGTTAATTCACTGCCTACAATGCAAGCTAATTTTCAGTTTCTACGGATTTTTGTTTTGACAATTTGTGAAACTGCTGCAGACCAGAATAGATCAGATAGCAAGCACAAGGCTTGGGCATCAGGGTTTGCTGCTCAGTAAGGCATGAGATAGTCTGAGGATCCAACACCAAGGATTTTAGAACCAGGAAACCAGTGCATCTCCCTTTTCTTCCATTTTGTGGGCAAGGATTGGAGAACATATAATATATTTAGCAGCTTGGTAAGGATGTGAACTCCCAGAAGACCTTGCCATAGCTATCAACAATGAACAGTGTAAATATCCAGGCTAATGTACTTAAAGAATAAACACAAAAATAGTTCATATTGACATATGCTAGATTAATGAGCTGAAACCATAATACAACAATGGCAAGTTCACTCACATCAGTCCATTTCCAGGCTACTCATTCACACACAAGAAAACAATGTCTTATCTGTCTACACTCAGTTCATACCTGGTAGTTTCTTTCTCCAAACAGGCTAGAATTTTCTTTGAACCAAAAACTAGCATCTATAGCACATTACCATGGCTACATTATTGCCAAACACAAGGGTCCTGTTCATAAGATCTCAGTAGCACAAAAACAGGAACAGTACAGTAAAGCCAATTTTCACCTTTATGACACCTCCAAGTTTGGCATCTGCTATAGCCAGTTGCTCATGGGCATCTTTTGCTACTATCTTCTTCAGAATTTTCTTCAAGTTCTTGCTGAGTTTTCCTTCTACCAGAGCTGTAGATGCTGTAGAAGGGGAAAAAAGTACAAAGATACAACAACAACAACAGCTTTCTAAAATCTGTTCAGAATAAGTAATGAAAAAAAATTCTCAGATACAACTTGACACATTCCCATTCACCCTACTGCAAAACACAACAATCAAGATCTCAGCTGTAATTATTTTTGCCCTGTGGTGGCTTAAATGGAATAAAGAAAAATAAAGTAAGACGCTTGCGCAGCTGTACTTGAATTCAAGAACAGTTCTCCCCCACGCCCTTATACTATCTATATAAAGAATCATGCTTACATGCCAATTCTGCTGAAAGTTTGTTAAAGGGATTCTACAAACACTCCCATATACTTTAGATAGATTACAAATATTCAATGAAACTGGTCTGGGGTATCAGCACGTAATTTAGTTGTCCAAATCCTTTCCTGCTCTTTAAAGTCATGGTCATAAACTCCCATTGCATAACATCTCAGTTAAAAATTTTGCTGCTTAATGTTACATCCTCCATGAGAGTTTACTGAAGCATGAAGTTTAATTGTGGTAGAGCAGGAAACAATCAGATATAGACCTTCTTAATGTATGTTGTGTGGATTTGAAAATGAAAGGCTTTTTTTAAACTCCACAAATATTAATAAAACTGTAAAAGCTTGACAATCCCACACTCTATACTTTAAGAAGGCACTTACACAACTCCCTTGACAGGTGAGCTCCATGCTCCAGTGAAGTTCTTTGGTTGATGTGACAGCTCCAACATAACTCATAGAAAAGTTAATGACCTGCGATTTCAAAAAACGTTAAAGGAACAGAATAAAATTGAACTGCTTTGATCAATATTCCTCTGACCAGTGCTATCTGAGATACTTACAATGAAGCTTTTAAGCTGACCAGCAATTCTTAATGCACTTAATAATATTTAAGCAGTGCTTAAATGCATATATAATATACCTAAAAAGCAGTTTACAAACTGAATGCTAAGAATATTTCTGTGAGATAGGTAAAACAAGTATCCTTTATTTCACAAAAGTAAAGAACTGGAAAAGAAGAAGTGGATAAATTGTCTAAGTCAGTCTGTAGCAGACTAAATAATCTGAACCCTAGGACTGCTGGTACCATTCTGGATTAGGTACGTCCAACTTACCCCGTCCAAACCTTTGGGGGCTGGATCCAGATGCAACCGTGACTGTGGAGGTTAACGCAGCTATCATCCAACACCCTCCCCAGGTCCCCGCCCCGCAGCATAGCCTCCTGACTGGCTTCTATGCCTTGTCCCAAATTCCAGACCTCCCTGAGCTACGTGCACGGCAAGTTCAACACCTCTGCTCTAGATAGTCTGCAGAAGGATATGCAGGAAAAAAAGAGCAATTTGAGCTTCTTATTTCCTTGCATCCCAAGTGTAAAGGCTTTTTAACATACTTTCCTTGGTGAGTTTTTTTTAACCTTACCCCAGCTACTCCAGGGCAGTGAGACTCACTGTCAGATATGCCATTTATCACCAAAACATTTATCAACTGAGTTTACATAGCACCACATACTATTCAAACAGAAGTCAGGCCACAACTAAATGATCATTTAGCCTGTGTTCTTTTAGGATTTGATTATTCAGTGTCTGTAATATTAAATTCCCCAATTACTAAGAAACAATGAAGTGCCAGAATTTGCACATGGCTACAAATAATTTCAGAATGCAACTACCTAAAGAGAATTAAGCATTTTATACACTGGCCTAAACTGTACAAAATGTACTTCCCTAACACAATGACATAGCAGTCCTATTATATTTAGGACAGTATTTATCTGTTGTCTCAGTGGTAGTGACGAAATGTTGAACCAAATCATTTAGAATCAGTTGCAACAATAATGCATCATTAACAGAGTATAGAGCACATAAGAATATAAAGTTATCAAAATGTTCTTTCATTGCTTGTCTGTACGCTGCCTGGGCAATTGACATTAGAGCAAAAACTAGACTTCAGGATTGTTTATCTAGCTCCCAGAGGCTTGAGATTGGCCTCATAAAACACAAAAAGAAGAAACAGTCTATTTTCTGAAAAGCTGTAACTTAAAATTAAACCTAGACAACATATGGGGATAGGAGGAAGAATACTGAATGAGCATTTATTTAAAAAGAACCCATTGAAAAGATCACAGTCAATTCTCTTATCTGTACTTACCAGCAAGTGCTTCTGTTGTATCCTGAAACTTTTCAAAATGTTTCAGCTTCACTCTAGATAAAA